TTTGTGATTGTCGAAAAAAAAATACAATGCCTAAGTTTATGTTTCCGGAGCGATGGGCTTTGTTACTGAAACATTGGAGTACTGATGAAAAATTTAAAAAGAGGAGTGAGATTGGGAAGATGGCTCGCGCATCAGAAAAGGGAGGCTCTTTGCACACTGGTGGAGCTATTAGCCAGGTTACTAGGAAGGAAAGAATGGTATACTTTCTTAATTTAGTAAAATAATTTTTTTCTTTTTTGATAAGTACTTTTTGGAGATTAATGAGATCAAATTCTATATATGTTATTTGCAGGAAAAAGAGTTGGGTAGGCCGGTAGCTGTACCAGAGATGTTCAAGGTTACTCACGTCAAGAAGAGTACGAACCCCACAGAAGAAGAAAGATGGATTGAGCCACGTGCTCAAGAGACATATGTAAGAACTCCATTCAAACTAATTTTTTTTTCTTTTCCTTGTATATATTACATTCTTATTCGTAGAGTTCTTTGTTTAAATTACAGGATAGGTATATGCGAATATCTCAGGAATATCGTAGTACTCTACCTCTTGAGAGTCAGGACAGACCATTTACACAAGAAGAAAACGAGAATCTTTGGAAACAGAGTGCTGGTGAACCGATTAGAGGTTCAGTCTATGGCTATCCAGAAAAGGCGTATCAGAAGAAGAAGTCTTGGTATTGTGGTTCATCATTCTCAAGCTTTGATGGTGGGGATAGAGAGACAATATCTGCAATGGAGAGTAAGATAACTTATCTCAATGCCGAGCTTGCTGCTGTAGCCGAAAGAGAGAAGAAGAGAGAAGAAAGAGAGAAGAAGAGAGAGGAGCAGATTGCGGCAGCAAAAGAGGTAGAGAACAAGAGGTATGCAGCGCTTCAGGCCCAACTAACTTTTCTTTTTGAATCAGGAAATATTCTTCCTCCATGTCCGGCTAGCAGTGATGGATCTGATCAGGAGGGTGATGAGAATGATAAGGAGAGTGAGGGTGATGAAGAGTAGTTGTATCTATTTGACATTTTAGACTTCTATATTTTTAGAATTGTTTAATTTGATCGTATTTTAGTTTATTTTGAAGTTGGATGAAGTTTATTTTGAAATAGTTTGTATATGTTGAAAATATTGTGTTGTTTTGGTTTGATGAAGTTTATTTGGCTTTGGGTTGTTTTGGTTGGATGAATTTTATTTGGCTTTGGTTTGTTTTGGTTGGATGAAGTTTATGTGGCTTTGGGTTGTTTTGGTATAAATATGCAGGTGGGCAACTAAAAATTGTAGCAATTTGCTGCCTGTTTTGCAGCAAAAAACCGACCTCCGGAGGTCGGAATTTCAACATAATAAAAATAAAAATACCGACCTCCGGAGGTCGGAATTTCAACATAACAAAAATAAAAATACCGACCTCCGAAGGTAGGAATTTCAACATTACAAAAATAAAAATACCGACCTCCGGAGGTCGGAATTTCAACATAACAAAAATAAAAATACCGACCTCCGGAGGTCGGAATTTCAACATAACAAAAATAAAAATACCGACCTCCGGAGGTCGGAATTTCAACATTACAAAAATAAAAATACCGACCTCCGGAGGTCGGAATTTCAACATTACAAAAATAAAAATACCGACCTCCGGAGGTCGGAATTTCAACATTACAAAAATAAAAATACCGACCTCCGGAGGTCGGAATTTCAAAAATACAAAAATAAAAATACCGACCTCCGGAGGTCGGAATTTCAAAAATACAAAAATAAAAATACCGACCTCCGGAGGTCGGAATTTCAAAAATACAAAAATAAAAATACCGACCTCCGGAGGTCGGAATTTCAAAAATACAAAAATAAAAATACCGATCTCCGGAGGTCGGAATTTCAACATTACAAAAATAAAAATACCGACCTCCAGAGGTCGGAATTTAAAAAAATGAATATTCCGACATAAAATAAAAACCGACCTCGAGAGGTCAGTAAATACCGACCTCCAGAGGTCGGTATTGAATAGCGACCAAGCTTTTTCCGACCTAAGCTGGGATGTCGGTTTTAGGTCGGTATTTCAAGGAAAACCGACCTCCGGAGGTCGGTATTTTTAGGTCGCTATTCACAGTTTTTTTAGTAGTGAATAACTAATCGACTCAACAATATAATATTGTAAACTAATGCACACTGAAATATTTACTACTTTTCAGTATTATTTGTAGAGTCATGGTATTATTTGGACGTTCTTTTTTAAAGCATTCCGATGGGTAGTGCCGGGCGGAGTCACCTTGTCCCCGGGGTGTTCAATTAGACACCCTTTGTTGACAAATTATACGATATATACACGTAAAGTTTTGACTTATATTGGTATATATGATAATTTGGACACGCTGAAATAACAAAGTAACCTGTAGTGGAGATGGTTAAAGCTGTCGCTAGCCCACTTGCTGCCCCAGTTTTCAAACCCAAGTTCGAATCTCAACTCCAATAAGGATTTTTTTCCAAATAAAATTGAATTATTTCCTTAAATTTTAATACATTTTCCTTGTGGAATAAAATTTCCTTACATTTTAATACCCTTTTCTTAAATTTTAATACGTTTTCCTTTTGGAATAAGGTTTTAATTGAAAAAAAATCCTTAAATTTTAATACCTTTTCCTTGTGGAATAAGATTTCCTTATATTTTAATACCTTTTCCTTGTGGAATAAGATTTCCTTATATTTTAATACCTTTTTCCTTTGTGGAATAGGATTTTCTTAAATTTTAATACATTTTTCTTTTGGACTAAGGTTTTTTTCCTCTATTTATAGGAGACCCATTTATCCAAATTATATCACAATATTATTAAAAATAGAATCTCTATAAATCATTCTTTTTAAAAAAAAAATTACTATTCAAAGTTTGGACCCCCTTCATAAAATTCCTGGCTACGCCACTGCTGCCTATGGCAAGGCACACGAGTGTGCTAGGGTGGCCTGGATCAGAGTCATGATTGGAAATGACGTTTGCTTGGTGTGTTTAGTTAAGAAATAAAGTTGTCTCCTTTGCTATCAACTATAGCTTTTGACATGATGGTAAACACTTGATCCTAATACGTTCTAATCAGGGGCGGATCTATTAAGGCTGGTGGGGGTGCCACGCCACCCACAAGCTTCGACGGAAACTCTATTTATATATAAGTATTTATATACAACATCTGTATAAATAATAAACGTGCCACCCAGAGAACAAAAGTATTCTTTGGCGCAGTGGTAGACCATCTACTTAATGGGTCATGGTTCGCGGGATCGAACCCAGCTATCAGTTTTTTTTGTTTTAATTTTTTTCAACTGCGGGCAGCCCTTTTTTGTTTTAATTTTTCGTTTTAACTGCCGGCAGCGTTTCTTTTTTAAACTACAAGGCACATTCCCTTTTGTTTTTTTTTTTTTTAACTTGTTAACTTATTATTAAGTAGTAATCAATAATTATTTTTTAACAAATTTAATTTAACTCTTTGACTTTTTTTTATTTGATTAAACATAAAAAAAAAAATTCTCTTCAACATTGAAACCTTGGCTCTTCCTTTAAACTTTTGAACTACAAAAATATGTCATTAATTAAAGCTTCAGCCTTCCGTCCGTCGCCCAATCCCGCTCTCCCATCCAGCCACAAGACAAATAATTCTATTTGAATCTAAGATTGATTTAATCGAGTCTATTGGGCATTAGAGACGAATCCAACATTTGAAGATTTCGATGCACCAATATATACTATCTTAATTTAGGTAGTTAACAAAACTTTTACTACAATTAACGAATAATGTAGTATTTGTTGGTAACTAATGGCTCAAATATGATTTTCTAAGCTAAACTTGAAATAAAAATAATGAAATAAGACTCTAGCTAGATTTGAACTGTATTCTCGCGAGTGATTTCTCTGGCTTGTACCAACTAAACAAGGGCACCCCTACGCTTCTTATGGGTGCACTATTGATTATATTCTACTTTATGCCAGTTTCTCACGATAGATATACATATATACACATGAATTTTTTTTTGAAGTTAACGGATGCACGTGCACCCCTATCAAATCATGTGATCAGTCCGCCTCTGCTTGGCACCCAGTGACTCTAAATCCTAGATCCGCCTCTGGTTCTAATAACAATAATCACGTGATAAAACTTTGCGACTGAAATGATTCCAAATATTTATTTGACATGGAGATAACATGTATTGATAATAATTAGCAGATGTTCATCTATATACGAAGAGTCATGTTTATATATACATGGGTCACACGTTTCTGGGCATAACCATATCCATTGTGTCACAATTTATGGCAAGTTTTCAGATACCCAATTTGGAACCCCTGTTTAAGCTAGCTACTTCAAACTCAACTTTAGTCATACGCGACTGAAGTTGAGAATCCCCGTCCAAAGTTACAAATTTTACCTGAAGTTTAGTATATTGCTTGTTCAAGAAAATTTCATGAACTTAACTTCAGACATACGCGATTGAAGTTTGGACATTTATGCCTAAACTTTTAGACATTGCTCGATCCACTCGTATTCATTTCCCTTTTAAACTCATTGTCTTGATAAGAAAACTGTAACATGAATGTCTTGAGTTTTCACTATCAACTCACTCTTAATTCTCTGAATGAAATGCCATTTGATTGCGGAAAAACAAGAAGAAGAAATTTGGGAATTTTTTTATACAATCTAGTTAAACAATGTGCCTTTTCTCGATTTCTGTCATTAATTGGAATATTTTCAAAGAGATTAGTAGTTTTTAACTAATTTACGTATATGTTCCTGATCCAAGTTTTTCAATATATGCATAATAATACATTGATCTTTGCTTATCCGAAAAAACATGCTGGACAAAAATACACATCAATTCAATAATAGACACTGCATTACATATAAATTATACAATACATTGCTAAGAATCACTTACAATACATTAACGTGACAAAAGCAAAAGGGGTAAAAAACATCACGTGTGGTACGTAGAGAGCAATAGAGGAATCAATTAATACAGTGGGAACTACGATATAATTAGTTGGATGGAGGAGGTGAAAGTGTAGGAATGTTTGGAAGTGAAGGCATGTTGAGCAGAGGATTCGCGGGCATTGGAGGCAGAGTCATTTTCGGGACTACAGAGGGCAGTGTTGGCAATGATGGTAACGGTGAATTAGCTGTTGGAAGTGTTGGCAACGATGCAACACTTGGCAATGGTGGCAATGTTGCGGGCAATTTGGGAATAGTAGGTAATTGCGGCATAGTTGGCTGAGGCAATGATGGTATGTTAGGGAACTTAGGAAGTTGCAATAGACCGCGAGCAGCATGACTTGTGGTGATACTTGATAAGGACAAAAATGCTACGATTAATGAACAATTGCTCGAAGCAGCCATATTTGTTGTAATTTGCAATATTTGAGGATGGAAGTTGGAAGTTCTATTTTAATTTGAGTGAATTTGATCATTTTCTAAAGGGGTATATATAGGGAATTTGATTATTTGGTGTAGAAGCATATGATGACTCTATTAATTGTTAGTTCATCCTCCTAAATGTTTAATTTGAGGGAAATGCACAAATTTTGTAAGTCAATATATGGTACAGTTATGTAGCTATAAATTCATGTTACTATGAACAAAATGAGAAGTTATTTGTTCATGTGTCAAGTCAGCCTATGCCTTTCTTCTTCTGAAATTTATCTTCCCAATTTTATTTATCCGATTGGTTCGATTCTTTAGCAGCTCTTAGTATCTCTGGATTCAACAGATATACTAAGAGCACAAAAACTTATAAAGATTCATTAAGAAAAAAAACTCTGTTGTATTTCAAGGTTTTGATGTACTCACAAACTATGGGACTTGGTTCCATGGTTGAGCATGTATACATGGTCGAATGGTGAACAACTGTAAAGGCTGCCACTCGTCCAATAGGAGAACACTAGGTTGTTTTACTCAGAGGATAATATATCCTCATTTGATAAAAACAACCTAGTCAAGACATTACACATACACACTCAAAAAAGGCGATTTTTGTCTCTGAAGAACTTATGCTTTCAAGAATCTCTAGGGATCTGATAGAGTTATCAAGTGTGGGTTATTACTGGAAGCTTGTTGTGTTGAACTTGTAAGATCCGTTTCTAAAGCTATAAAGAAACGCATTCAGTCTTAGCTGTGGTAACAAACAATGAGTATTGTTAGAGTTAACTATGTTGTGTGTGATCGAAGTCTATATTAATTAGAGTTAGTTAATATAGTGGGCAATAAAGGTATTGCTTTGGCTCTTCTTGTAATAGAGTTATTACAGGTGGTGAGATTAGGAGTTTAATGCTCCAACATATCCTGAAAATTTAGCACAATAAAAACGAAGAATAATGACAATAATCTTAGTTGATGATGACACTTTCCCTGGAAAATTTCGACTAGTTCTTGCAATATTATGACCTGTTTGGGCAATTTAAAATGCTCTGCAAGCCAGAGACTGATAGAGATGCCCTGATATAGGTTCACGTGAACACAATAGTTTTTGCTCAGATCTTATATAGGTTTAAAAACCTACTAGACTATGAACTTGGATACTATTGTAGTGTTAACTCGAGGTCACAACTGTAGGAATTCATGGACAAACACACATGAATCAGTAATAGACACTGCATTGGATTAACAAAATCAATAAATATCACTCAGAATAGTACAAATGATACAATACATCGTCGAGAATCACATAAAAGACGAAAATTACAAAAGAAAAAGGAAAGAAACACGCAGTAGAGACTAGTAGGGTAAAATAGGTAAAAATCACGCAGTTGGAAGCCGAAAGATTAGTTGGATGGAGGAGGTGAAAGTGTTGGAATAGCTGGGATTGCAGGCATGTTGGGAAGTGAAGGCATCGAAGGCATTGGTGGCAGAGTCATCTTCGGAACAGAGGGCAATGTGGGCAGAGATGGTAATGGTGTTGCTGTTGGAAGTGTTGGCAATGGTGGTAATGCTGCAGGAAAATTGGGAATATTAGGCAATTGTGGCAGTGTTGGTTTAGGCAACGAGGGGATCGTAGGCAAGTTGGGAAGTTGCAGTAGGCTACGAGCAGCACGACTTGTGGTGATGCTTGAAAAGGATAACAATGCTACAATCGCGAAGAGAATTGAGGAATTGCTATAAGCAGCCATTGTGTCGATAATTTGATCAATTACTATTTTTTCGCGAAAATTATGTTAGTAATGGGAGTTGCAAGTTCTGTTTTAGTTTGAGTGAGTTTGATCATTTTACTGAAGGGGTATAAATAGGGAAATCAGAAGGATCATATGACAAATCTAATTAATTTGTTAGTTCAACTTCCTAAATGTTAGTTAATTAAGGAAAATGCACAAACTTTTTGAGTCAATTATCTTATGGAAGTAGTTATTTATAGATGAAGTTTGGATCAACCATATTTGTTGATTTAATAATAAATATAGCAATCAGAGATATCAGTTTTTACTACTTCCTCCGTTTCAATTTATGTGACTGCACTACGGTCATGAATACCCCTATTTTGGGGTGGTCTTTTATTTTTGCCCCTTAAATTTGTGGTCATTCAATAACGACAATACGGGCAAAAGTTTTGACTAAACTTTCCTTTCTAATTAGTCCCAGAAAGTTTGACGCGTTTATTTATTTAAAAGGTCCATTAATTAACTTGAAATCCTATATAAAAATTTTGTGATCTAAAAGGTCCATTAACTAACTTGTCAACTCTCGAACCAACAGTAAACGCATAATTTCATTGAAATACCATTAGAAAAAGGTGTGTGGGTGGGTAGGTGGGGTGAAGAGCTAATCACATTAGGAGATCTTTGCTAATTGTCTAATTAATGATGGTCAAATAACTAATCAACTCAACAATTTGTTTTTTGGTCCTCAAAAGAAATAGAGTTAATGGTAAAAAAACACACATAAACTATCACTTTTTCGTAAATTGAGATAATCTATTGTTTTATTTCGTGAGTTAAAATAGATAGTTTCTTACCTTAACAATCTATTGTTCTCTTCATTTATCTAAACTATCACTCCATTTGTATTATAAGACACCTCAATGCTGAGTTGGTCAAATATGTGTTATTGATTGGGAACAAATATTTGGCTAACTCAGCTGAGGTGTCTTTAATACAAAGGGAGTTGTAGTTTAGATAGGTAAATGGAATAATGGATATTTGAGGTATGAAACTCGCAAAAAAATAATAGTTAATCAGGTGTGTTTTTAACCATTAACTCGAAGAAACAATATGCTCGTTAGAGAGCTAAAAAATAGTAATTCTAAACTCACAAGTACTATTCCTCTTTATATGTTTGTGTTGAACTTGTAAGATCCGTTTCTAAAGCTAGAAAGAAACGCATTCAGTCTTAGCTGTGGTAACAAACAATGAGTATTGTTAGAGTTAACTATGTTGTGTGTGATCGAAATCTATATTAATTAGAGTTAGTTAATATAGTGGGCAATAGAGGTATTGCTTTGGTTCTTCTTGTAATAGAGTTATTACAGGTGGTGAGATTAAGAGTTTAATCTCTGTATGTGTATTTGGAGTCTGTATTCACTTGTTGCTGTGAAAACAGTTGAAAACCCTGTGTGACAAGTCGTGGTTTTCTCCTCCCTTGAGCGAGCAAGTTTCCACGTAAAATCGCTTGTTGTTTTAGTTTTTATTTTAGCTTCTTCAACTAGCTTTAAGTCTATTACCGACCAGGTCTCTCAGCTTGGACTCACGTATCTCATTAAACTCAATACTCTATAATAAGGTAGGAAGATTTTGTAGTGATTTATGCCAAAGACGAACAACTTGTGTTGATTTATGGATGAACGATCCATCAAATGGGATGGCTAAAATGCTCCAACATATCCTGAAAATTTAGCACAATAAAAACGAAGAATAATGACAATAATCTTAGTTGATGATGACACTTTCCCTGGAAAATTTCGACTAGTTCTTGTAATATTATGACCTGTTTAGGCAATTTAAAATGCTCTGCAAGCCAGAGACTGATAGAGATGCCCTGATATAGGTTCACGTGAACACAATAGGTTTTGCTCAGATCCTATATAGGTTTAAAAACCTACTAGACTATGAACTCGGATACTATTGTAGTGTTAACTCGAGGTCAGAGTTCATGGACAAACACACATGATTCAGTAATAGACACTTCATTGGATTAACAAAAATGACATAAATCAATATATATCACTCAGAATAGTACAAATGATACAATACATCGTCGAGAATCACATAAAAGATGAAAATTACAAAAGAAAAAGGAAAGAAACACGCAGTAGAGACTAGTAGGGTAAAATAGGTAAAAATCACGCAGTTGGAAGCCGAAAGATTAGTTGGATGGAGGAGGTGAAAGTGTTGGAATAGCTGGGATTGCAGGCATGTTGGGAAGTGAAGGCATCGAAGGCATTGGTGGCAGAGTCATCTTCGGAACAGAGGGCAATGTGGGCAGAGATGGTAATGGTGTTGCTGTTGGAAGTGTTGGCAATGGTGGTAATGCTGCAGGAAAATTGGGAATATTAGGCAATTGTGGCAGTGTTGGTTTAGGCAACGAGGGGATCGTAGGCAAGTTGGGAAGTTGCAGTAGGCTACGAGCAGCACGACTTGTGGTGATGCTTGAAAAGGATAACAATGCTACAATCGCGAAGAGGATTGAGGAATTGCTATAAGCAGCCATTGTGTCGATAATTTGATCAATTACTATTTTTTTCGCAAAAATTATATATGTTAGTAATGGGAGTTGCAAGTTCTGTTTTAGTTTGAGTGAGTTTGATCAATTTACTGAAGGGGTATAAATAGGGAAATCAGAAGGATTATATGACAACTCTAATTAATTTGTTAGTTCAACTTCCTAAATGTTAGTAATTAAGGAAAATGCACAAACTTTTTGAGTCAATTATCTTATGGAAGTAGTTATTTATAGATGGAGTTTGGATCAACCATATTTGTTGATTTAATAATAAATATAGCAATCAGAGATATCAGTTTCTACTACTTCCTCCGTTTCAATTTATGTGACTGCACTACGGTCATGAATGCCCCTATTTTGGGGTGGTCTTTTATTTTTGCCCCTTAAATTTGTGGTCTTTCAATAACGACAATACGGGCAAAAGTTTTGACTAAACTTTTCTTTCTAATTAGTCCCAGAAAGTTTGACGCGTTTATGCATTTAAAAGGTCCATTAATTAACTTGAAATCCTATATAAAAATTTTGTGATCTAAAAGGTCCATTAATTAACTTGTCAACTCTCGAACCAACAGTAAACGCATAATTTCATTGAAATACCATTAGAAAAAGGTGTGTGGGTGGGTAGGTGGGGCGAAGAGCTAATCACATTAGGAGATCTTTGCTAATTGTCTAATTAATGATGGTCAAATAACTAATCAACTCAACAATTTGTTTTTTGGTCCTCAAAAGAAATAGAGTTAATGGTAAAAAAACACACGTAAACTATCACTTTTTCGTAAATTGAGATAATCTATTGTTTTATTTCGTGAGTTGAAATAGATAGTTTCTTACCTTAACAATCTATTGTTCTCTTCATTTACCTAAACTATCACTCCATTTGTATTATAAGACACCTCAATGCTGAGTTGGTCAAATACGTGTTATTGATTGGGAACAAATATTTGGCTAACTCAGCTAAGGTGTCTTTAATACAAAGGGAGTTGTAGTTTTGATAGGTAAATGGAATAATGGATATTTGAGGTATGAAACTCGCAAAAAAATAATAGTTAATCAGGTGTGTTTTTAACCATTAACTCGAAGAAACAATATGCTCGTTAGAGAGCTAAAAATAGTAATTCTAAACTCACAAGTACTATTCCTCTTTATATGTTTGGGTTCTTTCCCTTTTAGGAAGTAGTCACAACTGAAAATAAGAAGTGGAGCCAGAATTTGAAGATTATGGGTTTGAGTATTGAGATACTAGTACCTTTTAAGTTATCGGGTTCTAAATTTAGTAATTTTGTACATATTCAATGAATTTCTTAAAACAAATACACATGATTTTGACCAAAGCTACGGTTTGATCATTTGCTCATGCTATATTTGTATGGTGAGATTTCTCTTTAATTAGTTAGTTTTATGCTGACTGATAGCCAATCAAAGTTCTTCTCCGTTATACGGACTTCAAACAGGCAATGCGAGCAAGCTCATAGGAGAGTTTTACTCCCCCGCATAGTGTTTTATTTTTTCACATGGACGCAATATAGTTAGGTTTCAAAACTAATGCACACGAAAATATGTTGTTTTTCAATAGTGTTAAACTTCTTTACTCGATTTCTTTTAGTTAATGATCGAATTAGTTTTTAAAAAATTATGTGTCATGATCCAATTTGTTCGAAAAATGCAAATTAGGTTGATATTTGATATACGGATAAATACACATGTATAACGGAAGAGAATAAACACTGCATCGCAGTAATACTAAGTCTTTTTTTCTGTATAATCAACACACAACACCCATATATATAGAGTACAAATGATAAGATGCGGCATTACAAATGAAAAAAGAACAGGAAAAACATCAAATGGTAGAGACCAATGTGGTAAGAAAGGTAAAATGTGGGAAATCGCGAGGTTAGTTGGATGGAGGAGGTGAAAGTGTTGGAATTGTGGGAATGTTTGGAAGTGATGGCATGTTGGGAAGAGGAATATTGGCAGGCATTGGAGGCAGAGTCATTTTCGGGACAGAGGGCAACGTAGGCAAAGATGGCAATGGCGTATTAGTTGTTGGAAGTGTAGGCAAAGATGTAATGCTTGGCAATGGTGGCAATGTGGTTGCTGTTGGTAAATTGGGAATAGTGGGTAATTGTGGCATTGTTGGCTGAGGCAACGAGGGGATCGTTGGCAAGTTTGGAAGTTGAAGTAGGCTACGAGCAGCATGACTTGTGGTGATGCTTGATAAGGACAATAATGCTATGATCACGAAGAGGATTGAGCAATTGCTAGAAGGCGCCATTGTTGTATAATTTGCTTAGATGGCTTTGTTTTACAAGGAAATTATGTTGTGTTTTCACTTGATTTGAGTTTAATCATCTCTATAGGGTTTATATAGTGGAAGTTCTTGAGTACTATATGCATAATTGGATGAGATGTTAGGTGTTAGTTAACCTTCTTGAATGTTGATTTGAGGAAATACTTAATGTTTATACCTAACTAAACAATTAACCTTAAGAATCAACAATTGTCAAAGTAAAAGGCATATCACTTAACCATAGTTAAATGTTAAAAAATTGTCTATGCAAGACATATGTCTTACATTCATAAACACCTAGTGCAAATAAACTTTCACCCATACAACGATAGGTCCATGTTAAAAAATACTCTTCCCTTAACTTGGTTTTCTTGTTGATTGTTTAACCAAATGTGTTGAACTTCAAAATATTGTTGAGCAGATTAGTTATTTGAGCATTTAATTATTAGGCAAGCAAACATATGTCCTAAGTAGTTGAACAACATTGGAAGAATCAACAGAAAACAGTCACTAGTATTAGCAAAATTAAGAACAATAGAATTGCTATGCTTTCACACCAAATACCTCATACACTAATATTGTTAGTTTTTCAACAACTTTCCCTATATATAACCATTTAGAAATTGATCAAATTAAAACAGAATTTCCAACTTACAAAGCAATCTTGCAAATTACAACAAATATGGCTGCTTCTAGCAATTGCTCAATCGCCCTCTTGTTGATCGTAGCATTATTGTCCTTATCAAGCATATCGACAAGTCATGCTGCTCGTAGCCTACTGCAACTTCCCAACTTGCCTACGATCCCGTCATTGCCTCAACCAACAATGCCACAGTTGCCAAATATTCCAAACTTGCCAACAGCATCCACATTGCCACCATTGCCAAGTGTAACATCTCTGCCAACACTTCCAACTGCTAATTCACCTCTACCTTCTTTGCCTAATTTGCCCTCTATCCCGAAAATGACTCTGCCTCCAATGCCCGCGAATCCTCTGCCCAACATGCCATCACTTCCGAATATTCCTTCAATTCCAACCATTCCAACACTTTCACCTCCTCCATCCAACTAATCTTTGCAGCTTCCAACCGCGTGATTTTTACCTTTCTTACCATACTGGTCTGTACCGTGCTTTTTGTTTGTTTGTAATTTTAATCTTTTATGTGATTCTCGACAATGTACTGTATCATTTATACACTTCTGAGTGTTATACATTGATTGTCATTTGTGTTAATCCATTGCAGTGTCTATTACTGATTCATGTATGTTATTTGTCCAATATATTTTCCTAATACACGAAGTTCAATGTACATACATTTTTTTGAGCAAATTTGAATATAACTGTTTTTCCGCGCACAATCAGATGTCATTGCATTTAGAGAAGTAACAGTGATTCATACTACTAAGAAAAGGGTTTAAGAAATTATGCAAAAAAAGAATTAAAATCAGCTAGTTCATAAACAGACACTCAAACTTGGTCGTCTGAGCTAGCAAGTATGTACTCTAACTTTGACAGTAACAGATCTAGACATCTCAATTGACAGCTAAACACTCCAAATCGTCCCTATTCTGTCTCGTGGACACCTGATGTTGACCTAACACATACTCTAGAGGTGTCTAGATGATCATTTTTGTAAGTTGGAGTGTTTAATTAACATAGTGGAGACGAGTTCAGGTGTTGTCTAGATGTGCACTCTCAAAATTGAAGTATTTACTTGCCAGTTGAGAGTGTTTGTTTATGTATTATGCCAATAAAATACTCGAGTAAATTTTGTAAAGGAGTTCAGCAGAACAAGCAGTGCACTCCAATATCAGTGCAAATTATCTTTACTCTATTTGCAAATTTTCAGCACGTAATTGTTGTTATTAATTAGGACGCTTTTAAGAAGGTAAAAACTTATCTCGTATCAAGTATTTACACAAAATCAATGACTGTATAATGTGTTGGTAGATACACAACTATCATTTAACCATGGTTAGTTATGTATATTTTCACTTCATTAAATCACTTAACAAATTATACTGGAAAGCAGTATATTTTCATGTGCATTAGTTTAGATTCCTCAAAAAACCAAAACTTGAATGATCAAATAAATTGATTTGGTAAATACATATTTGCACTTGATGTTTTCCCCTAATTAGACGATTAACTTTTATGAATCAAACAATCTGAGTGAAAATGCATATCACTTAACCATAGTTAAGTATTAAAAAGTATTGTCGTGTCGGAATTTTCCTATTTCTAGAAAAATCACCTTTTGAAATGATCTAAGTATAAAACAATTTGAGAAATACTTAGAAAGAGTCGCCACTTAATTTTTAAAAGAAATTAAGAAAACTTATAATTTTCAAAGATTTAAACAGAAAAAATCATTTGAAAATACCAAAGAGGGTTCGGAGTTCAATTTACACTTCGAGAAGGGTTTAAGCACTCGAAGTGCCCGCTAACATGCGGTTGACCTGCGACTTGACTTAAAATATATATTTGACTAATTTTTAGAAAAAAAATTGATTTAACATAAGAATAATAACTTACAATTTTTGGTTAACTAAAAAAAGTTAAATAAGTGACACATTTATTTTATTTTATTTTTAGAGAAAAGAGATCCAAAACGAAATATTTGACTTGAAATATAAATGATTAGAATGTTAATAAAACTAGATTAATTAGAATAACTTAATTCATTTTAAAATAACTTAAACCAATTTTAATATATTAAAACATGAAAATTATTTTAAATTAATTGAAGAATAAAAGTTTTGGCTAACCTTTTTGAGAAAATGACTAAGCAAGTATTTATTTATTTATTTATTTACACTATAAGGTTAACTTTTAGAAAATAGTTAAACAAAGAGCGATTTATTTTTTTAGAAAATGGAACCTTAATTGAAATATTTGAATCAGAGATAAGTAATTGGAATTTTAATGGAATTAGATTAATTGGTTTTTATTTGAGTCATTTTTTGGTTTATAAAAAAAAAAGAACTATTTTAAACTAATAAAAAAAAATTGACTAAAGATTATAAATGAAAATACAAGAGTTGATAAAAATAAGATTTTGTTAGAAACAAAACAACACAGAGAAATAGTTCGTCTTTTGGGGAATTCGACTAAGTTGATTTACGATTATAAAGTTAGAGTTAAACAACAAACAATAAATAATCACAATTAAATAATTAGCGAGTAAGGGAGAAATTTCAATTTGGGCCTCCCTTTGGGCCAAATTCGCTGAAATTTGGGGCTTAGGCTTAATTTCCGTTTTTGTATACACTATTTGTATATCAGTGTATATCGGATGAATACTGCCTATTTTTTTTGTATATAAGACTATATACCGAATGTATACAACCTAATTCAACCTCCAAAACACCTGTTTCGATTTTTGGGCTCCATATTTCTGTATTACGACCTGTATACCAATGTATATTTAGTGTATACAGGCTGTATACAGTCCATTCCCTTGGACTTTAGGACCTGCAACCTGTTTTTAGTTCCCTGTAAACCTGCTTTCAATTGTATTTCAACTTCCCAAAACTCCAACAATCAACGATGAAGGCCGACTCGATAACGGAAGCATTGGACCAAAGGCCCAACAAGAAAATGCAAAGAGAGGAGTTCATGGCGAACTCGGGCAGATTTCACATGCAATAAAATGAGAAATAATATCAGTACCCAATAATAATATCTCCAAACCATAGCTTAATGATGCTTAACCAATCCCAAAATAATAAATGTGTCAAAGGGAATTACCGCTTAACTACTCAAGCTAAAGAAAATGAACAAGTAGATTAGATAATTACAGCAAAACAAACCATAGATCCCAAGCAGAAGAGAAGACAATTTTAAAGGCCTAAAAAAATGATTCCATCAACCCACATGTTCTGTAGAATCTCACTTACACATTAATTAAAATTCATTAAGACATAAGCTCATTTTCTCATTACAGTAAACTAGTACATGAGCCATATAACACATAATCAACCCACCGTTATCGACCTTATATTAAAAGGAGTCAACACGTCATATACGTGAAATATTAACGCCAACATATTCGTGCTTCAAGTAATCTTAAGAACAAAATTTAAACTCTATCACACTAAAATAGAAAGTTATACGAAAAGTGGCATAGACTTATCAAAATGAGTCATTCTAGGCAGTAGAAAAATTAGTTGAGATTATGTCCTTGCAAGGACAACAACATCTACAACAACAAATCAGGAGAGATCATACTTCAAAGACAAAGCAAAGCACAAGCGAAGCACACTAGTTTAGCAACACACTCATGAAAGCATCGAAGTCTAGTATCATTTCTAAACCTACAAAATCACCTTAAATGAACAGAACTTACTACATGTTGCAACATTCGAACTATAATAAGACCTAACACATTATTTAAAACAATAACAAAACAACACACATGATTCGAAAAAAAAAAAAAAAAAAGAATGAAAAATGAAGTGCGAGTGTTACCTTGTTTGGAGCAGCGACTGGAAACGGAAACGAGCAGGGATGAGCAACAATTTTCACACCGAAACACGACTTCGAGAAACTCGAATGAACGAGACAAAAACGATCAAGAACAATTTCAAAGATTTTTTGTTTTAGATCTATTTCTTCCTCTCAATACTTAGCTTTTCTTTTCTTTTTCTTTTTTTTTCTCCCCCCTTAAGCAGTGATCAAAGAGATGATTATATAGCTGAAAAATCCGAGGAAATCGAGTGAATTTTTCAATTTTAAATTCGGACTCCTCTGCCTCTTTTCAATCCAACCGTGGTAAGCTTTGAAAAAATCCCTAAAAATGGGGGAAAAGGGACGTGAGGGTGATGGGGGATCTGCAGGGTATGGGTTTTGGCAGAGCAATTGGACGAGATTTCCGGATTTGGGCTGGATTTCTCTGGGTTGCGTCTGGATTTGGGCTGGATTTCTCTGGATTTCTATCCCTACTCTTTCATAAATTACAAAATTCCCTTTATTTTATTGTCTTGCGGATACTTTAATTTAGAAGCTGTAATTATCAGTTCAGTGCGTTAAAAAGGGGATTTTATCAGTTTAGTGCCTTAAAAAGGGGATTTTATCAGTTTAGTGCCTTAAAAAGGGGATTTAATACAGAAATAAAAATTCATTGCCACAATTCACGCATACGTTTCTTTCATCTACAAATCAGTCATTCATAAAACGATTACTGAACTAAAATTTCAAATTTTAAAATTCTCTCTTTCTGTTTTGCAAAAAGCTCTGGAAGGCTGATCAAAAAAAATTGCAGCGCATTTTTTGGTGAAGATTTGTAATGAATATTTCAATCTTGTTAAGGCATTCAGGAATATGGGAAAGTGATGTTAAATACGAGCAATACATAAGTGATGGCATAGTGGTTGGAGAAAATATTTCGTTCGTTAATCTTAATTCAGCAATTGCAGCAAAATTGAATGTTGATGAATCAAAAAAAATATGGAGATCAGATACATCATAGAAGGTAATTCATCTCCATTGTGTATTCAGAATGATGTGGGGGTGAATTTGTACATAGAAGTGAAGAAACACGAGGTAGGATTCGGTATGTATCCACTATGCATTAATACATCGGATAAAAGTGATGAAGAGATACAAAATTTTGATGCAACAACAGGTGCAATTGTGTGTGTTGAAGGTGGAAAAAGGGACGCAAAGGCTCTAAGCATTATTGAATCGAAAATTTGTGATTCTTATTTCATGATGCAATAAATGAAAAATGTTATGTTTTGAATTCTGGCTACATTTTTTTATTGTTAATTTCTGATAAAGTTAGTTTGGTATACATTGTTGTGTGTCTGATACTTAATTGTTTGTAAATTTTGTATGGGATAGAATAATAGTCTAATAGATGTGATGTGTGCCAAAGTTAAAAGAGACAACATGTAAAATAGGTATTATTTGAAGCAATTATATATCATATACATACTATCTTCTTCTAAATTTTGTATCTACTAATAATAGAGTATCGGAAGTTGTATTTTTTACCATTATTATATATCATATACATACAATTTTTATATTTGTGGACGCAATTGTGTTTCATGTACATAATAATTTTCTGGAAATTTAATATCAACTTAAAAAAAGTTAGAGTAATTTTAGTATCAATTTTGTGTATTTGATACTTAATATATCTTTTTAACTTTGGCATGAAATAATAAAATCGTATCAATTTGAGATGTTTGAAGCACCTAAGTATCATATACATAATATTATGTAAA